ATAGATAGATAGATAGATAGATAGATAGATAGATAGATAGATAGATAATGGATAGATAGATAGATAGATAGATAGATAGATAGATAGATAGATATGATATGATATGATATGATATGATATGATATATGATATGATATGATATGATATGATATGATAGACAGAGATATATACTGTATGTATAGACAGACAGACACACAGAGATGATAGATAGAAAGAGATAGATAGACAGACAGACACAGAAAAAGAAATAGATATAGATAGACAAACAAAGAGATATAGATTGTAGAGATAGACAACGATAGAGATAAATAGATATAGATAGACAGAAAGAGAGAGATAGAGATAGACAAAGAAAGAGATAGACAGGCAGAAAAAGAAATAGATATAGATAGACAGACAAAGAGATATAAATTGTAGAGATAAAGATGAAGAGATAAATAGATATAGATATAGAAAAAGAGATAGATAAAGATAGAGATAGACAGAAAGAAAGAAATAGATAGACAGTGACAGAAAAAGAAATTGATATAGACAGACAAAGAGATATAGATAGATTGTAGAGATAGACAAAGATAAAGAAAGAGATAAATAGATATAGACAGAAAAAGAGATAGAGATAGATAGAGATATAGACAGACAGAAAGAGATAGACAGACAGAAAAAGAAATAGATATAGATAGACAGACAGACAGACAAAGAGATATAGATAGATTGTAGAGATAGACAAAGATAAAAAGAAAGATATAGACAGCCCTTACTGACTGAACCGACTGCAGGGCACAATGGACGGAGCCAAACCGACCTGTATATATTTATATTTTTCGTCCAGCGACAGGCATTCCTCGACTTGCAACAGTTCCATTTAGTGACCATTCAAAGTTATGATGGCACCGTTCAAAGTTACGGCCGTTGCAACATCTCCAGGGGGTTACATGATCAAAATACAGACAACTGTCTCATAGTTACGATGGTCCTGAGGTCATGTGATCTCCTTTGGCAACCGCCGCAAAGCCAGTGGGGAACTTAGCCAGCATGTCACTCGCTGCAGCAATTCCGTTAACAATGGTGGCAAGAAAGGCCGTAAAGTGGAACAAAACTCACTTAACAACTATTTTGCTTAGCAACAGAAAGTTTGGACTACCTGTATTTTGGGAAAAGAGAGAAAACCCAGGGGTGGGATTCTACCGGTTCGCACCTATTCGCTAGAACCGGTTGTTACCATTCTAAGCAGTTCGGAGAACCGGTTGTTAGAAGAAATTACAGGGCTAATCCCGTAAGGAAGGCAGGAAGGAAACATTCTGGGGTTGCTTACAGAAACTGCCTCTCCGTTAACCCTTATTACATTCTTGGCAGGACTAGACTTCCTGTCTCAGGAACTTCTTTGGAGTTTTTTTCCCTCCTTTGCTGGTACTTTGCTTGTGTGGAGTCACCATTCAAAGTTACAATGGCACTGAAAAAAGTGACTTATGACTGTTTTTCACACTTACGACTGTTGCAGCATCCCCACAGTCATGAGAGGCCAGGCGAGGAGATGCGTGCCTCGATGTGAGTGATGTTGAGCTGGCCACGCCCAGCCAATAACATGACCACCAAGCCACGCCCACCAACTAAGCCACACCCACAGAACTGGTTGTTCAAAAATTTGAATCCCACCCCTGAGAAAACCCTAAACTGTAAATAAATAAACGGATGGATGGATGATAGAGATAGACAAAGATAGAGAGACAGAGATAGACAGACAGAGAGATTTAGGATCAGAGGGGGTATTCAGCAGGTTCTGACCAGTTCTGGAGAACCGGTAGCGGAAATTTTGAGTAGTCTGCAGACCCGGCAAACTACCACTTCTGACTGGAGATTTTACAGTATCCTTCCCCTGCCACGGCCACCAAGCCACGGCCACAGAACCGGTAGTAAAACATTTTGAATCCCACCACTGTTTAGGATGGATAGATGATAGATAGATAGATAGATAGATAGATAGATAGATAGATAGATAGATAGATAGATAGATAGATAGATAGATAGATAGATGTGGATGGATGGATGTAGATAGATAGATAGATAGATAGATAGATAGATAGATAGATAGATAGATAGATAGATAGATAGATAGATAGATAGATAGATAGTTTTAGATAGTTTTAGATAGATAGATAGATAGATAGATAGATAGATAGATAGATAGATAGATAGATAGATAGATAGATAGATAGATAGATAGATAGATAGACTGATTTAGATAGACAGATTTAGGATAGATTGGTTGATTGATTGATTGATTGATTGAGATAGATAGATAGATAGATAGATAGATAGATAGAGACAGAAAAAGATGACAGATATAGAGAAAAAAGAGACAGACATAGACAGATAGAAAAAGAAATAGAGATAGACATAAACAGATAGAAAACTTAAGAAAACAAAAAGATAGAGATAGACACAGAAAAAGAGATAGATCTAGACAAAGATAAAGAGATAGAGACAGATAGACAGAAAAAGATAGATATAGATAGACAGAGAGAAAGTGATAGAGAGAGAAAGAAAGAGAGAAAGAAAGAAAGACAGACAGACAGACAGACAGACGCCTTCTTTGGAATCCACCCCACCCGACCCAATTTGCAGCTTGGAAATATCTGCTGGCCCCCTGCCCACTCCTGCCGGGAGCCCCTTCCCCCCCACCCAAGCCCAGGCTCAGCTGGGGTCTCCTCTGCCCTCCACTGTTTACAAGCCTTTCATTTCCACCAGAAGAGCACAAAGCAGGAGAGCCAATTGCAAAGAATCCCCCCCCCCCCCCCCGCCGGCTTTTCCTGCATTGCTCATTGAGACACCTCGGCAGTTAGTGCCATGGGGTTGGCTGTGCGGAGGGAAGGAAGCATGAAGGAGGGGAAGACTGGGGAGGGGTCCCGTGCAGGGAGGGGAGAAAAGCCCCTCCTTGGCTGGTGGAAGGTGCCAGGCGCCTGGGCTGGCTGGCAGGTGGCAGGGGAAGGGGCGCAGGCTTGGGATAACAGATAACAGATCATCCGAGTTGGAAGGGAGGTCATCTAGTCCAACCCCCCCTCCCTCCCCCCCGCCAAAGACATTTCTGACAGATGGCAGTCCAATCAGTCCAAGGTAGGGGCAATGGAAGAGAGGGTGGGTGGGGAAGGACCCCCAGCCTCATTTCGCAATCCTGGAGGAGACGAGGTGGATGGCAGCCCCCTTGATTGGGTTTAATGCAGATCGTTTCATCCAGCGCTTCTCCATTGAGGCCCCTGGGAAGACGGGTGGGACTTCAAACCCGCCCCCGCCCCCGAGTTCCCCAGCCAGCCAACCCATCCTCAAGGGGCCAAGGTTGAGAAGCACGGCTTGAACCCACGGAACTCCTTGCCACAAGGTGACAGCCAAGTGCGAGAGCTGACTTTTAAACGGACTGGGCG